TTGCTGAACTTCAGATGATTTATGGTGGTATTTAGGGTTTCCTATAATGGTAGTCTAATATTCGCAGAGTTTTGAATTACTATAATGAAAAAGATTCAGTGAGTGCCTAAATTTGGTTATTTTGATGTATGGGATAATAGGTGCATGTTCAGTGAGATCCACTTACAGCAGAATTTCCTTTGCTAAAATGACCTATTTTTGCTACTCTCCTGAAATCGATACCACTTTGAAATGTCATTTAGGTGGCAACAGACCACTTTAAAAAAAAGCACATTATTCTATGTGCCTTTAATTGCCTAATAGTGATACAAAAATACGTAGTGGTTAATTAGTATTGACAGAAGCACTGTTACGCAATTCTCCAGCAGATCACAATTAGAAGTGCTTTAATATATATGAATGCTTGAACTGGGTGCAAAGATGCTCTTGATGCCTTAATCTTTCACAGAACCAGATTTTGTTGCTATAAAAATTTTTTTTAAATGTAAGCTATAAATCAGAACATTTGGTGAAAAAGTTGTGAGACGCTAAGCACGATAAAAGCAGAGATAATGTTTGTCCTCTGAATTCTTGTATTTCTAGAGCTTAGTTCTTGTGACTAGCAAAGTTGAGTATTCAATAAATGTTGAATGAATATGGGAAAGACATATTGCAAATGAATTTGGAGACTTGTGAATTAAACAAGAAGTCTTAAATAAGCCAAAGGCAGACAACAAGCTCTTCTAAATAACAGAATCTCACATATTAAATTTGGCCTTTAAATTGTGAATTTTCTTCCTGTAGCTTTTAGAATATGCTACATAAAATGTCAGGGTTTCAGAGATGAAACTTTTTGCCACTTGGTGGCATTATTGTAGTTCTGATGGAGTTTTTAATGCCAAACTGAAGGATTTGGTCTTTGACACATATCATTAAATGCTCGTCTTTTGATGAAATGTACAAGAGTCTTTATACAATTGGCCTATAAAGGTATGAAAAAACATTGAATCTGCATATTTTTCAATGAAAAGTTAAGAATAACTCTGAAATTAAGAATGACCTCTCCATTTGTAATGATTCTTTCTTTTCACCCTAAAGCTTCTCCAGTCAAATGCAAACAATCAAATAAGAATAAAACTAGATTAATAAAAAGGTAGTTCAAGTAAATTGGAAAAAGCAAATTATGTAATATTGATAAATTTTAAGAAAAAAACTTTATTTGTCACAACCATTAGAGGTTGGCAGGCTTAAGTTGTTTCCTCTGAGCTGCTTGGGAATTTTCACAATTGAGATGAGATATACTTTCTTTCTGAAATGACATTTTCAGCATGTATCCTTTTTTTATAGTAACTTTTGTCCATAGTCACTATTATGTTTATAGTGAAATCTGTTTGGTCATCATTGAACTGCTCAACCTTAACACTTCCCTGAGGGATCTTAGACAAACAATGAGATTGTCTCTAATGTTGGATCCTGGCTTAAATTGGAAGACAAGTGGTTATTTTCATTCAATACCACCCCCCCCTTTTTTTTCCCCTATTTTCCTACTTTGGACTCAAAGTTAATTAGAACATTGCATTATTGTCTAATACAGGGGAAAATCATTATTTAAAAATGTAAATTAAATGGACATTTCTTAAGAAAGCATGAAATGTCATCTTTGTGCAAGATGAGTCTTCTTTTGAATAAAGGATTATGCCTTCTGGCTCCATTCTTGGTTGATATATTTATACATTTAAAATCTCTCAGTGAAGAAGTATAGAATTAATCACCAAAAAAGCTGCATTGACATCATTAGATATTAGACTGCCTAGTCATGTTGTCTTGTCCAAAATGTATTTATCTAAAGTATTCCACATCTTCCATGCCTTGCTTGTGAAATATATTATTGTCGTTTTCTATTTTATCTTATAGTAATTTATTTAGCCTTGTACTTTGTTTTAAATGTTGACTATTTTCCAGAGACTTTTGTGTAATCAAAATGTAATTAATCTTCCATTTTTCTCTTGCCTACATTTATTTTTATTTTTTAACATTTTTAATTGATTTATAATCATTTTACAATGTGTCAAATTCCAGTGTAGAGCACAATTTTTCAGTTACACATGAACATATATATATACATTGTCACATTTTTTTCTCTGTGAACTACCATAAGATCTTGTATATATTTCCCTGTGCTATACAGTATAATCTTATTTATCTATTCTACATTTTGAAATCCCAGTCTGTCCCTTCCAACCCCCTGCCCCCTTCACAACCACAAGTTTGTATCTCATATGGTATTTTTCTTTCTCTTTCTGGCTTACTTCACTTAGAATGGCATTCTCCAGGAGCATCCATGTTGCTGCAAATGTCATTATGTTGTTGGTTTTTATGGCTGCATAATATTCCATTGTATAAATATACCACATCTTCTTTATCCAGTCATCCATTGATGGAAATTTGGGCTGTCTCCATGTCTTGGCTATTGTAAATAGTGCTGCTATGGTCTTGTCTACATTTATAACGTATTAGAAGATACTAGTTAAATACTTAGAAACCGACAACTCTTGAGAGTTCATATTTCAGATTTGTAGTTCAATTTTTTTGTAAGACATTTATATTTTATCCGGGAAGTGAGAGAGTTAAACACATCAGCTGCGAAGGTCTGCGGATACTTAGGCTATGACTTTGGGAGAATTAAATGGATGACGGTACCATTGCTTTCCCTGCAGTAGCTTTGAAAACTCTTTTAGCCCTTGTAGAACCTGTGTGTGACTTTCTAGCAGGCCACAGTAGAAACCTTGTTATGTAGACACAGAAGAAACCTGAGAACAGAGTATGAATTCTGCTGTTGGAACTTTTTGTCTCAACAATTTGCCAGAGAGTAAATATGTTACACACTATCTTTATCCCCACAGTTTACAAAGGCTAGTTGGTCAGACTTGCTGATTATTTTCAAATTGATCTTCAAAGTACAAATTGTGACCTAGAGTCCAGGGTTCCATTCCCAACTTCATTGTTGCTCACAAGTCAATTAAATACATACAGTTGCATGGTTGCAAATGAGTTCAAAGGATACGTTCTTCTTGTTAGCCAATGAAATCTAGCTTGGAGTTTAAATACTACTGAATACAGTGTAAGATTGTGCTGGAAGTATGTGTTAAGTATCATACGAGTCTTACCACCAATAAGAATTCAGAATTATAAATATGTGGCCATGTTCTCTGGATAGGTGAAGGAAACTCCTTTAGTTACTGGGTTACAATAATTACTCCAATAGACAGTTGTGAAAATAAATTTTCTGATTTCTGTGTGTAGAACAGTCTTTTTTTCCCCTACATTTTATTTTTTATTGAAATATAGTTGATTTAAAATGTTAGTTTCAGGTGTACTGCAAAGCAATTCAGTTATACATATACATACATACACATATTTTTTTTCAGATTACTTTCCATTATGTTATTTCAAGACATTGAATATAGTTCCCTGTGCTGTACAGTAGGTCCTTGTTGTTTATCTATTTTATATACAGTGATGTATATTGAATAGTCGTACTCTGTACTGAAAATACTTGTACCGCTTTTAATCCAAGAAGAAAGTATAGATGAGAGATGAGCTGAGCATTATGACATTCTCCGTAATGTTTTGTTCGGCCATCAAGTAATGATGAGCCTACATGTTTCTCCAGCTCTTTCCATTTCAACGGTCACCTACATTCCAGCTAAAAACAACCCTCTTCCTTATAATAACCTAACAAGATTCTCAATTAAGAGCAGGGAAGATAAAAGGATGGGTACAGACACATGCTTCTTTTCCCTGCTAAGTTAAGTCCTTTACTTTTCAGCATCTATTCATTAAAAGGAAGCTGTTTTGTCTTGGCAGACGATGGTGTAACTAATGTACCAATTTACTCAACAATTTTTTAAAATAAGTATATTTGGAAAAACTGGATAGTTCATTATAAATTGTTCTACAGTAAAGGAGCACATTTAAAAATAGCTTAACACCTTCTTTTTTTTTAATGTGTGGACTGGTGTTCAGAGGAAGCAGTACCAGAAGGGACATGGGTTGAGATGATAAGACAGGTTGGAAGCAGGATACATTGAAAATCTATTTTGCTGTAGATTAATAGAAAATTTAGTTATGACAACTAAGTTATAAAAAAGAGTATTTAAAAATGGTGTCTAAGGACATTTTAAAATGGATACTTTAAGCGCTTTAATAGCTTGTCACTGTTTATAATTTTATTATTACTGTTTTATTGGTGATGGCTTTGTGCTCATTGTTGTTTTTACTTGAATTGATTTAAAAACAAACAGTGTGAAGAAATTCATGGAAGGGATCGGTAGGAAGATCTGCTGTATTCCAGGAGCTACTAGCACAGAGAAATAGGTGAAAATAAAGGAGAGAAGTCTGAAAAAACCTGTTCAGCAACAAGCAAGCAATGCTGGGAGCTAGTCGAAGTAATCCAGCAGGTTTAAACCTACAGCAAACACTTGATAGCTTATAGGTGAATCCACTGGCTCAGGGTGGTTGGGTTGTTTAAGTATAAGGACTCCAAAAAAGGCTTCTGATTCTGCACTCAGAGGCTTTTGGAATCTGAGTCTACTTCTATAATGACATCTATCTTCACCCTGTGTTGCACACGTGATCCTTGAAAACTGATGCATGTTGTCAAGTTTTCAGCTGACAAAATACTCACCAGGGCACCCGTTCGCTTTCCTCAGGGGCTGTGGGACTGCTGCTTTAGAGAAGAAGTGCCCACTTTGTGCTAAGCCAGCAGAAACATTAGAAACCAGCTAGTCAAGGTCGTTCAGTGCGCTCTGGGTAATTCAGACAGACTAGAAGCCTTAGCTCTTTTTGATCTTCTTTCTGTATACTCTGAAAAATATACACATAGATGATGAAAAGAAGGGTGTTAAAGAAAATAATACTCTTCGGTCAGTTTAATCAAGGGCAGCTCTAAAACAGAGCTAAAGTAGCGAGGTGGCTCCGTCACTTCGGCATTGGACCCCACGCAGCTGTTTGCCGTCAGCCTATGCAGCCGTGGCGCTGTGCTGTGCTTGTAATTGAAGTCCATCTTTATGAGATTTCTGCAGAGCCTGGTCAAAGAGGTTGGTCATTAAAGGCAGGAAGCACAGCAACTTTAGCAAATAGAGTAGAAAGAAATGCAATTTTCTTCAGCAAGGTGTTAAGGAGAGAGCTTTTGAAATTTATCTTCATTTAGCCTTCGAAAGATATGACCTTGCTCCTGCATCTTGCTGGAGAGTTGCCTTTTGATGCACTTGCTTTACATACTGAGGGAGATGACCGTGTTTCTTAATTGAGTTTGTGTTCTGTTGCTTTCTTGGTAAATTCTATTTTAGCAGCTTTATAAGTTGACTGTAAAAACCTATACCGGAGTGAAATTGTAGAGACCTAGGAGAAAACTACTTCTTTTATTTAAAAAGACATTTATAAGATTCAAGGTCATTTGAGTATTAATTTTCTTGTTAACTCTTACAGTTTATTGGTTTTTCCTCTGCAGAATATAATAGCCTCCTACTTTCAGTAAAGGAACATAGGTCATAGTTTAGACCAGCATGGAATGTGGAATAAGACTCACAAAACTGAGTTTAGAAACCCTGAAGAGAGAAGTGTCTTGGGGAGCTGAGCAGCGCAACAACCTGACAGAGGGCAGGGCTTTCCCGGGGCGGGGCATGTCTGGACACAGTTCTAGTTCAGAGAGCTTTAGGGGAAAATTCTGAAAGTTGCTCAGCTAGGAACTGAACGATGATTTGATGAAAAGAGGACACGATGTCAACCAGGTGGATTCTCTTTCTTTACCTCTTTGAAAATCTCCTATTGCTTTTTTTTGATCACTGTTTCCTCCTTGTGGTCCGCTTTTCCCTCATGCATCTTAGTTGAAGTGTGCAACCAAATACTGCTATGTCCTGTGGTACTAGCAGTGATCGAGGATATACTGAGTAAAGCCACAAGTATTTCTCCCTGCTGCTCAGCAGTCTAGGTAGCTGGATGCTGACACATCTTAACTAGGCATTTGCTGTTCTTATTTTCTTTTAATTTACAAGTCCCACCCGGCTCCCTGCTACTTGTTTTTTCTAGGACCTGAGCCTAGGGTTGTGGTTTTTCTGGGTATTCCAACAAGTACATTTATAAGTATATAAATATACACATTACTGACACACAGTGGAGATTTGACAGGCAGGTGGAGGAAATGTGAAGATGGTGCAGAGATACGAGTAACGTGGCCACAAGCCAGGGAAGCCAAAAGGTGGCTGGACCACCTTTTGCTTGAAGAGATGAAATATGTAACTCATGGATTCACACAATGATCTCAGTAGAAGCCAGGAATAGAGATGGAGTTATCCAGGAAAGACCTGTTTCCCTAAGAAACGAATGTTTCCCCTTCAGTTTACTTTCTTTCTCTGAAGAACTGAAGCTTTCTTGATCATGGTTCCAATTTGCCCCTTTGGATTATGTTGACAACCAGGCTGACCTCTTGGCCTCTGCTCAGTCAGTTAATATCTCCTGGCATTCCCAGAGGAGCTCATGCCTTGTAGAAGGACAAACTTTCCTCTGCCCTGCTATCCGCTGTCAATTCCCAGGTTGTTGGAGCACATCCTTGATAGCTTGTACTTTGACTTTTGTTATCTTCTCAGAGCACACATCAGTTGGGGACAGCACCCACTCCTACTTTTTATCCTCATGCCGATCATCCAGTCACAAGGATCCTACTGTTTTCTGCGCTCTGCAGCCCATTCCTCTGTGTGAGGTACCCCCCCCCGCAGAAATTCAAATACACATTTGCATTTTAATGGAAATATAATTGACTTCCACTGCACATTCAATAATTAAGACTTCACATTTACATTTTAATCTACATATTTTCTAGCCCGATTCCCCCTAATTTTGGGGGAAAGAAAGCTTTTCTGACAGGTCACAATTGTAGCTAGCAGCTGTCATGCCCTGGGCACCTACTCTGTGCCAAACACCGTAGTAGTCACTTTGTAGATATCATAGCTTTTAGTCCTCACAATAATCTTTTTTTCATCCACAGTTTGCAAACTAGGACCAAAGACAGTAGAAGATATGAACAAATTCTCGTGGTTTCAAGATCCACAGTATAGACTAGGGGAGCCAAGATTTTTCCTGTATTAGATTTTATATTCTCTACTATTAAAGCCTGTCACATACAAGTTTTTTCAACATATTTTCTCTCATCTGTCTCACTGGCAGAAAAAATAGTAACTCACAGTTGATGTCATTGAGCAATTACTACTGTCCAGAGAGCTGGACGGCTCATTCATTATCATGTATGATCTTTACAGTGGCCTTATTAGGTGCTGCCAGTTTCCTGATTACAGATTAAGAAACTAAATCGTAGGTTAAGTATTTTATCCCAAAACACACCGCTAGTTTGATGTAGAACATGTATTTGAATATAGATGTCTGAAGACAGAGAATGAGTTCTTTGCTATTTTAAAGAATACTTATTTACAAAACAGAAAGAGACAGACATGGAAAACAAACTTATGGTTACTGGGGCAGAAGGGGTGGGAGGGGATAAATTGGGAGTTTGAGATTTGAAAATACTAACTAATATATATATAAAATAGATAAACAACAAGTTCATACTGTATAGCACAGGGAACTATATTCAATATCTTGCAGTAACCTATGGTGAAAAAGTATAAAGATGAATATATGTATGTTCATTTATGACTGAAACATTATGCTGTACACCAGAAATTGACACTGTAAACTGACTACACTTCAATAAAAAATATATATATATACATACATTTTAAAAAGTATACAATTGACTGAAAAAAGAACACACAACATGAGTGTTGTGAGTTAAATTTTATTAGGGCAAAATGAGGACTTTAGCCTGGGAGACAGCATCTCACTCTGAAGAGGTAGCGGGGAAGGTCAGTATTATATACGATTTCAGTGAAGGGGGGTTACATGCAGGCAAACACGCATTTTGGCAGAGGCTGGCTGCTAGTCATGAGGAGCAGATGTCTTCGTTAGTGATTTTAGTGCTTTTCTAGATATGAGAAGATGCAAGAATTAGGGCTCATAAAATCTCTGAAAATGTCTATCGGAAATCCTGTTCTGCCAGTTTTTCCAAGGGCACAGAGTACCTCATTCCTGTTCTCCACCCTGAAATCCTTTCAGGGTGTGTGGAAGTTCAGCGACTGCAGTGGCCAGTGACTTAACCCTTGTAGAGGCAGATGGCAAGTGCCAGTTTTCAGTTGGCAGTACAATAACTCAAAAACTTCAAAGATAAATACAGTGTTTTATTACATGTAAGATCCCATGTTATAGCAGAATAGCGTAACTTTGTAGTGAGTAGACCGACACACTCAGCTGATGCTTTCTGGTCGTGTGCCGTATTAATCATTGGTGATCAAAATAAATGTCAGAATGTTATTTATATATCATGGCCTTCTGAAAGTCATTTGAAACAGCTTTCAGCTTTAAAAGGTAATAAAAACCAAATCCAAACTCCTGAAATGTGAGTCATAAGAAAAGAGCCCCAAGTTTTAAAGCACATTGAAAACAAGACAACAGGTCCAAAATGGAGTTGCTTATGCTAAGCTCCACATCACCAAATTGCAATTACAGCTTTGGCTCTTCCAGAAGTAGAATCTTAAACTAGTCAATCAGGAATCACCTGATCAACACTAGTAATCAACCTGATAGACCCCTATTATCTCCTAAAGGAAAGTAACTTTGCAATAATCAACCTGCTTTTTGGCCAAGTATAACTTCCTTGTTCCTGCTCCTTTCTGCCTATAAAAGTCTTTCATTTTGCACAGTTCCTTGGAGCTCCTTTCTATCTGCTAGACTGGATGCTGCCTGATTCAAATAGATTTTTGCTCAAATAAGTGCTTAAAATTTTTAATAGGCCTCAGTTTACCTTTTAATAAGCACAGACAGAAAAGGAGAATGTTACAGTTTCGGTGGTGCTTGGTTAAATAGTCACAACCTCAACAGTGCCAATGTGAAATGTTTATTAATGGAGGTTCTGGGGAATGAACCCAGGACTTTGTGCACGCTAAGCAAGTGCTCTGCCACTGAGCGATTACCCTCCCCTTGGAGTTCTTATTTGAAACTCTCCAAACTGGACTTGGCCTTGAAGTATCTAAGCTTCCTTAAGAAAGACGGCTTATGTTTTATTTCATTCCAGTTTAAATATCAGCCTAATCCTGTGCTTTTTTTTTATGTGTGTAGCAAAATCTCAGCCACTTCCCAATTTATAAGATCAGTTTCAACTTCAACATAGTCTAGATGGATGTAAGGGAGAGTTTCTAGAAGGTGTAAATCTGAAAGCATTCACACTTTCTCATACTCTTCCTTTCCCCCTGGGCCTGCTTTCCCATCCTTGTCCTGGACTGATGCCGTGTGATTGTATGGCTAGACTGACTGTTTACAGTTGGGGTGGGTGGCTGGGGATATCTGCATACATGTGGACACAAAGCAGTAGGAGGTGAGTTTGGGGTTCCATCCCTATTGGTCCCTGCTACACTTGTGTGAGACGGGAGCTGCAGTGTCGTTGCTGATCCTCTGGGGGCTCTGCTCAGCTCTGAGGACACAGTTCCACAGCAAGCTGTTTTGCTACCAAAGGTTAGAAAGCGAAGCCTTTTTGTTTGTAGGGTCCTCACGCTCCATTGAGCACCCACACTGCTTCCTCTTGATTGAAGAGATGCTCATCAGCTCATCCATGCCTGCTCTCAGCTTTGCCTGCTTTCAATTGTGTGGGTCCCGTCTCCTGGAAGCTTTAGTGACTCGACCAATGACTTCGCAGATCAAGGAAAAAGCCACCACTTCCTACAAAGTAGATAGCAAGGGAGCATGGAAGGGCCTCCACTCTGCCCCTCACTGAGGGAGTGAGTTGAATGACTCCTTCTCCAAGTGAGGTGAGTATTCAGGGCTGTTGACGATGCTCTAGACTCTGTGACACCAAAAGGCAGTGCCCTTAGGCTGTCTAGACCCCTTATATAAAAGGGTGGTAGGGTGTAGACTATCCTTAGAATTTCCTAGAACACTTTTCTTTTTTTTAAGCAAGACCTGAGACAAGATTGTTTGCCACACAGTGGGCTTCAGATGTTTGTTTTCACCTGAAACTATTCCTGTAGCAGTCCTAGTCCATTCTGTGTAATTCTTGGTCTGAGCGGAGAGGGCTGTGTGAGTAGAACCCGAGACTCATTTGGAAGCATTTAGAAACCATAACTCCTCACTGTCCACTTCAAACTAATATGTCAGCATTCGGGGGGAGTACTTTCTTAGCATAGTATTTTTTTAACCAGTGGGCTAGAAGGGAAGCCTAGTAAAGATGAATGCACATCCTATTAGTTCATTATAGCCTCCTAGTCTCATAAAAGGAGGAAAATCTACTAGAAAACCTAAGCTAAAGAAGCTGACATAGTTGAATTAAGAATTTTAGTTGAATTAAGAAATTTAGTTCTTAGCTTCCAGGCCACCAAGCAGAGAGAAATGGATTGTACAACACACCTTTCAGTGTCTAGTAAAGGACACATTAATAGTTGTTCAGAGCAGGAATTGATTGCGTGAGTTTGCATCTAAGGAGCATAGATGCTAATGATGCTATATAATTATTGCTTGGGCAACCATATTAGTGACCGTGTTGGGAAATGCCACACATAGCCCAGATTGGCTTTAATCAGCCTGAGATCTCATTTCTTCCCCAAATGAGTTTACTTTGAAAAATCAGCATGATATGTGGATAAGCTGATGAGTGGAAAAATTAATGCTTGTTCTATAATTTACTAGTTGTGCGAGCTTGGAAAAGTTGCTTAATCTCTTGGAGCCTCAGTTCCTGATTTTCAAAACAGTAGTAAACAATCTCCCTTTAAAGGGCTATTATGAGGATTAGCTGAGAGGTACAAACATGTAGAGATGCTAGAATTGTGCCCAGTACATAGTAGGTGCTGACTAAATGTTGCTGGGGGTTATCGTTACCATTCAAACTGGCCCATTGGGGAAGTTACAGATTCCTTTGGAACCTTGAATGTGTGTGTGGTGCAGAGTGTTGTATTTTAGGATTCTGATACCAAGACTGTCCAATGAAGGAAATGTCAGAATATGGGATGATGACCTTAAAAATTAATGGGTTTGTAATCTTATTCTATGTTATTTGCTGCTGTTGGTTTTCTTTCTCCTAGATATATATAAAGATCTTCGCTTTCAATAAGAAGAGTGAACCTCAGTCTGTTTTCTGTAAACATATGAAGCAAAGGCAAGGATGAAAATATGTCAGAGATACTTGTTTAATTTACGATAGGCATAGTCATTGAAGTATTAAGAATTTGATGTGGTGTGTTGTGCCACACTCTTTCATTATATAGATTTCTTTTGAAAAAGAAACAGTATTCTCTGTTCATGGGCTTTTCAATCTACCATCCCTGCTACAAACATCACAACATTGTAACTTCAAAAATAGTTACCTTGGCTGCAGATTGTGCAGACTACACCCTTTATGGATTATACTGCCATGATAGCACAGAGGTGGCTAATCTTTCCACAGTTTTATGACATTAATATTAATTCTGCCCATGCATTGGCTGTTGGCTGAGTTTTATGTTCCAGGGACTCTGAAGGTTTTTTATTTCAAAAACAGGAATAAGCATAGCAAAGGTGGACATTTATTGGTTTTTATAAAAATGTTTATATAAACCCAGCTCAGCCAGGCCCGCAGGTATCAGCAGTGCAGGAGTCAGCCTTAATCTGTCTCTTTAAGAACACACATTTTTATCAGCATAAATTTCTATTAGTAAAAATAGAAAAAAATCAGCCCTCCCTTTCTTCTCAAGTACTAATAAATTTGGAGGAAGGAATTATATGCCTGGTGAAACTTAGTGTTAAACATAAAAAACATTAGCAAGACATGTGAAGATGAAAGGTATCTTAAAATCTGTGCATTGAAATAGCTTATAGCTCAACACCCATATTATTATGAGACCATCTATATTTTGTAATCCCCTCCAACATGTGGTAACTGACCAGGGGTATAAATCGGATTTCCTAGGGGAAAAATAAACTTCCAAAGGAAATATCAATTTCATGTCTTCTTTCCAAAACTTCAGTGTATATAAAGTCATTTATAGTTGTCACTGGTGAAGTACTCATAATTTGTTTTCCTGGTGCCTGTGGGCCAGCTAAGCCCCTTTTGTTTTTCTGATTTTGTATTCACCTTTTCCTATTTCTTCTGGAGAGTGAGCAAAAGGAACTTGTAAAAGACATAATGTGAGTCATCCTTCAACAAAAGATTTCTCCTGAGATGGTGCTTATGAGTGTGAATTGCCTTCTTTCTCCTCCGCTCAAAATGAGGACTGAGGGTTGTTAGTTCTCTCTACTGCTTCGGCTATTGTGCCTATAATCGCTCTTTCTCTGTTAGTTTAGCGGATGGCAATTATGTGCTGTTTCTCTAGGTGCCCGTTATAAATGCCAACCTGCTACCGCACTGGTGGGAGACAATTGTGTGTCCTCTCTTTCTTTTGAGAAGAGTATATGTAATCAGTAATTCTATCTATTACAATAGTAATTGGGTGGTGTCTAGAGCAGACTGTCATTTTTCAGAATAAAGTGATATATATGTGGATGTCCAACTGTTAAGTGAACTAGAAACTTAAAAAAAACCAAAAATATGTCAGAAAATCAAACGATAAGTTACTTATTTCAGAAGTTTTTTGTTGTGGACCATAGCAATATGTGGACTTTATGGTGAGACTGTTTAGAAAGACAGATGTGCATTTAAAGTGGAAAAATTACAAAGATTTATCTTTAGATGAGCAAACCTAGTATATGTTGATAAGAAAATATTTAAAATTGAAAATTGATCTTACACTTTCTACTAGTGAATTTTTCCTAGTTTTTTTCCTTTTAAGAGGTGGCATATTCAGGTGTCTGTAATTTTGAGAGCAAAGTGCCATACCAGGAGTGCATCATAACGTGTTTCAGGCTTGTTCTGTACTTAGTCATTTGTTGATGACTAGAAATGAGCTATCTGGAATAGGAAATTAAAGTCATTGCAGCTGGTGTGCTGAGCAAATCACTTAGCCTCTCTGAGCCTTATTTTTTCCTAATTTTAGGAATGGGAAAAAATACTTTTTTATAGGGCTATTGGAATAGTTAAATGAGACCTAGTACATAAAGCACTTAGCCCAGTTCCTAGGATGTAATCAAAACATGCTATCTGTCTTATATCTGTGGCGGTGGTCATGGTGATGAAATGTGAGAACTCATCTGTCCCAATTCCCTTATTTTATAGGAAGATCAGAGCTGGGATGTGCCCAAGGTCACACAGTTGGATAGCAGAGCATGGCTCGCTCTCACTTAGATCACTACTCGTGCTGTTGTGCATCTTACACTGCAGGATTTTCTGCAGGTAACTCAGAATCCCGTATTTTGTCACCATTGATGGTGCTGGTGTTTCATGATTACCTTACAAATGGCAGTAGCCATGATGGCAACATTTTTGGTCGTAAGCAGCAAGGAGACCAAGTGAGAGTTTGAAAGAGCAGCTGTCTTTGCTGCTCATTTTTTTCAGTGAATTTCTGGAATTTCATCTCTGTTGGTCTCACGGTCTCCTCTCCAATGATCAATAGCACGTTTAGGGATTGGCGAATGGGTTCAGATTCCTTGGCCTGACTGCTGAAGGACATGCCTGTGATCTGAGGCTCGTGAAACGTACGTTTTAGTCTTTATATGTCACCTGTAAATTCTTACGTACAATATCAATAGAGAAATACTTGTTTCCATTATAAAAAGAAGAAATAATGAATTACAAGCTTGTATCGTTACTTTGTCTCTACAGTTACTCAAATTTAAACACTCAGTATAGTAATGACAGTATTTTGAAGACAAGTGTACACCTCTATCTGATGGTTTTGGTTTTGTCTGGATTGCTTCCTGATAACTACTAAACTACTTTAGTTATAGAGGTCTTGTCATTCCATAGGGCTGAGGTCCTTCTATTAAATAAATACTAAGCAGTTTGGCATATAACCACTCTGTTCAAAGTATGTCGTATGGGAGTTCACAATGAAAAGATTTGTATTTAGCGTGGATTATTTGGTTAGAATACTTCCTGCTATATGTAACAGAAAAGCCCTAACCCCTCTCAAATTTAAACATAAGAAATGAATTCTGTCATGTAGGGTAAGGCTGCTCCAAGGTTGGTTAGGTAGGGGATATGGTGAAGTGATCAAGCCCAGGTTCTTTCTGTCTTGTGTCTCTCCTGTTTTCCTTCTGGAGGCTTCTTTCCCATATGGCTACAAGATAGTTGCTACAGTCCCAGGTGTCACATAGAGATCCAATGACATCCATCAGAAGAAGTGGGACCATCTCTTTCTTGTCTCCTTTTAATGACAATAGAAACTCCTTCCAGAAGCCTCCCAGTAGACTTGCTCCTCGGTCTCACTGGACTAAATGACTGCACGTGTTGTCATGGGGACTGGAACTACTCTGACCAACTAGGTCATTAAGGCTGCACTTCTGGGATAGGACTAGGACCAAGGTGCATGCGGAAGGAGAAAAGGGGCAGTGGCTGTTGGATAGGAAAGCAAGAGTGTCTGATAGATATAGAAGAAGCTGGATGGTAAACGATGCTAAAACTAGGCAAGAAGGGATAATAAGAACTCTGAGATACACTCATAAATAACATTAATGTTTATCTTTTTAATTTATCTGGAGGAAAAGGAGAAGAAATATAACTTAATTGTGCCATCTAAATGGTTTCTTCTTCTACTAAATTGTCCTCCTGCTGTTGATGAAGACAATTATTCCATTTGTGTATTAGAGTCCTGCTAGCTTAATAGATCCCTAATGAAATTAGCAGAGTTTGTGTTTCATTATGCAACTTTACAGACCAAAAAAAGGTGTTATTAGAGACACCTACAAGTATTTTCATGCCATGTAGTTACATGTTTTGCTTTATTTCTTTGTTGTCAAAGGCCATTTGGCTGTGGTCTTTTATATAAATCCTTTCATTTAAAGAGTTGCAAAATAACTTGTACTCTATGGGATTTTTCTAGCAGTCTCTGGCATTAATTTGGCATTAGTTTCTAGACTTTTTGTTTTTTCTTTTTGATGGGATCACCACAGTTGTGGTGAGAAACTGAAATCAGACTGTTAGGGCTTTCAAAGCGTAGTGATTTGGACTGTCCTTATTAATATCAAAAATGAAACTGGAATCTGTTCTTTCTATGAAGCCTAAGATACTGGAGATGAAGCATAGGCACAGGAGAGTGAGAAATAAGTAAATAAGTACCCCCAGTGAATCCTGGAATCAGAAGAATAGAGAGAAATGAGGTGGCTAGGGGGTAAACTAGTTGGTTCGTACTCAGTAAGAGTTACAGATGGCACGGTCAGTGTGGTGATGACCAGGATGTGGGAAAACAGGTTGGAACAGAGACCAAAAGAAAGTCAAGCAAGAGGTGACAGCATTTAATTCTGATAAAATGCAGTCCCAGATATGCCCTATATCGTTAGAATAGAACAAAAGAAAAAGGATCTAGATACTTCTCTCTACATGTTCAGTTTTTCCTTTTCAGACTTTTTCTTCGTTACCTCCTTAGGTTACAAGACTTTGCTTTCCCTGATCGCATGGACCCTGTGGTTTCTTCATAAGTTTT